TGTCCACGGCAATGCTGAAGAGGCATCCTCCCTCCCTACATAAGACTCTTAATTTATTTGCACCTCATTTGGAAGCTTCTCCATCCACTTCATCATTCTAATTGCTTTAATATGACAAATTGACCAATTACTAGCAGGTTATTTATAACCATGGTGGAATTAGTTGCTTGGTTCAATCAAGCAACCAAAAAGTAACTGAATTGTAATGACTCGATTTATCAAAATATTCAGAAGAGTTGGTGTGCATAGACATAACGCGTATTAGCATTAGACAAATATGTGCAATACAATAGGAAGAGGATATCTGGCTATTCACAAATGACATCTGAACCAAAAGGATTCTAACCCCAGCTCTTTAACCAAGTAGACAAGTCATAGCTTTGAGTATTAAAAGACCTGTTGCAGAATCTTCTGGGTTTTTTTTTTTGTTGTTGTTGTTGATAAAGAAATGGAAGCCCAGAAAGTATTAATATATGAGATTTGCCAAGGTTTCCCAGCCAGGAAATGACAGAGCTTAGACTTGAACCATTTGCATTGTTCTAATGGTTCCAGGTCCTAGAGAACTTTTCCTACCATGTCTGCTGTACTGTGACATTGAGTGAGTTACTTAGCCTCCTGAATCCTCAATTACTTTGTCTATAATGTGAGAGGACTGGTGGACATATCAGTTAGCTTTTGCTATGTAAGAAACCACCCAAAACTTAGCAGTTTAAAACAACCACCATTTTATGTAGCTCTTGATTCTGTGGTTCATCCTGGTGGCTGCTCTGGTCTGGACTGGCACAGCAGATCTACACTGGGCTCTCTCTGGCTTCTGTGATCAGCTGGTGGGTCTAGCATGATCTACTATAGCCTCATTCATAGTTCTAGTGGTTGAGAGGCCATCGGCTGGGGATTGGCTGCTTGTCCACTTGGGCACCTTTGGTCTCCTCCACAGGGCATTTCTTCCTCCAGCAGACTTGCTCAGGCTTATATACATGGTGATTTCAGGCTTCTAAGCACAGAAAGGAAGGAAAAATCCCAATAAGCATGCTCTTTGCAAATCTTTACTATACCATCTCTGCTATTCTCTCATTGGCTAAAGCAAATCATGTGCTATAGCAAGCAGCTTCTGAAAGGCTCCCAATGGTTTCTGTCTTGTGGCTTTCCTGCCCTGCATAATCTCCTGCCCTTGCATGGGGTTAGACCTACAGACTTGCTTCTAATGAATAGAATATGACAAAATTGATGGGATATCACTCCCCAAGATTAGTTTATAAAAGACTGTGGTGCTCTCTCTGACTCTTCTTAAAGATAAGCTTGCTCTGATAAAGCAAGCTGCCATGTGTCCACTGTCCTATGGAGAGGCCCATGAAGAGGCCCAACAAACAGTGAGGAACTGAACCCTCAGGCCAGTTCCTTAAGGAACTGAATCTTGCCAATAACCAGTCAGTGAGTGAGCTTGGATGCAGATCCTTCCCCAGTTGAACCCTTAGATGAGAATGCAGCCCCAGCCCACACCTTCATTGCAGCCTTGTGAGAGACTTTGAAGTGGAGGACTGAGCTAAGTCACACCTGGGGTCCTGACCCACAGAAACTGTGTATTGGTTTAATTTGGGCATGATTTGGTACAGAGCAATAGATTACTAATACACATAGCTAAGCTCAGAGTCAGTGTGGGAGAGGACTATCTAAGAGTGTGGTTACAAGAAGAGTAATTATTTATACATATTTGCAAATAGTTTGTCAAAGATGAACTTATTCCAGCATTTTGGAATCTGAAATGGAATTATTTTCACTACTTCAACAATTATTTATTGTCTGTGCTAAGTACTAAAAACAATGTGGTGAATAAGGCAGAGGCCATGTTCCTGCCCTCAAGGAGCGTTTGTGGTAGGGAGGAGGATGGAGAAAGACATTAATTCAATAATTCCTTCCTTAATTATTTGTTAAAAATTGGGGTAAGTGAAATGAAGGGAGAGTGTATATAACTTAGTCTGGACTGGTCAGAGAAAGCTTCTTTGAGGAAGGGACACTTAAGCCAAAAAGGTAGGCAGGGGAGAAAGGGAGGAAAGGAGAAAATTCCAGGCAGAGGGAGGGGCATTCTTAAAGGGGAGGTGGAGAGAGGGTGAGCAGCTATGGGGCAAGTTCATATTTATGATCAAATTATATAGTATTACATGATAGTGGTATTATGGCTTATAGTTTTTTAAAAGTTCCTTTACAGATACATACCAAAACACTTATGGATCAAACTATTTGATGTCTGAGATTTGCTTCAAAACAATCCAGTGGCAGGGTAGGGGTCTGGAGTGGGTGGAGCTATAGATGAAACAAGATTTTCTAAATGAGTTAATAATTATTGAAACCAGGTGATGGGTACATGGGAGTTCATTATACTAGTCTCTCTACTTTTGTAGATGTTGGAAATTTTCATAATAAAACTATTAAAAATGATATCCCAACAGCGCATCCTGAAAGCTGTGCATATATGTTTGAGAAGTCCCAGCACTTACCTCCTCCTGCTCCATACAAGACAGGAGAAGTTAATAATATCTTCAGGGAAAGGGGATAAAATGAGTTCCATGGTATTGAAAAATGTAAAGGATTCTTAGTTTCAAATCATGTGACTAACATAAAATGGGGTGTTTTTGTAATTTATCTTGCCTCCTGGCTAAAGTGCTATATTGCTTTCTTTCTTGTGCTCATTTTTCACGGGCTGAGATGGTATGTTTCATATATGGTGGAATCTTATAACATGGTTTGCTCTAGAGTAAAAGCGAGTGGAAGATCCTGTTCAAATATCAGTTGTGAAATACTGAGAGGATTCTGTTATAAGGCCTTCTATGATATGGACAGTATTAGAGTGAGTTTATACGTTGGGGGAGGAGAAAAATAGGGTAGAACAGTTGTAAATTCCCCTTTGAAAAATTCTTGGTTGGCTTGCTGCAGTAGTAATGGAGTATGGATTTCTTTGATTAAGTTTTCTCTACCTTTTACTCATGCTATTCTGAGATGGGTCAGACTGTGAAATTAACAGCAGGGATTCTTTATGTCAGGGATGTATTTCTTTAGGATTTTTTTGTGGGGGGGAATTGTGGAGGAAGATAATGAGGTGATGCTTTATGTTTACAGCTCTTTCAATGTTAGGTTAATGGGAGAACCATGTTTTGTGATTTCGATTCAGACCTTTCATGAAAATACCTTTGCTGCCAAATTGAGTCTCTCCTCAACCTCTACTAAATGAAGATTTCACTGGAGTAAGATATATGCAAATTACATTTCCTTTCTCAAGCCAAGGTTAAATAAAAGGGAAAATTATGAAAGATTGCTTATGGCAGCAAGGATTTTCAGTGCTTGAGGATGAATTTGGTTATTTCAAAACCATGACGAGTCCCTTGTTAGTGCAAATCAGGAAAGGAATAAAGTAAAAGAGAAAGTGGACCTGGGCATAAAAATGTCCCCACACAGTATTTGTGCTGAAAGCCTTCTTGTTCCCTGAACCTTGGTAATTACAGGCATTTTCCTGTGCTCTGAAAAACGTTTGGCAAATAAGGAGAGAGCGTCCCCTCCTTTTCTCTGTTGAAGGCTGGGTTCTGGCCTTGTTGCAGGGAAACACTAATTCCCAGCAGTGCTCCCTGGGAGTAAATGGTTTGTTTTCTCTTCACTGAATTCAGCCCGGGGTCGGTTCTTAGTAGCAGAGCCTGGCATGGAAAATCTATTTGGAGCAACTTGTCCCCAGGAGGGAAGAATGCCAGCCAACTGTGTGGGGAAGCCACAGCCACCATCAGGGTCAGTCACACCGCTGGCCAGGGCGGGCATTAGCACGCAAAGGCGGAGTCCTCAGCAAACACGAGTCGTTTGTGTGTACACACACCCACACCCGATTCCACCCATATACACCATGCACACACTCAACATGCCAGTTACACGCACCACACATACACCATAGACACACTCCATGACTATTCATACCCACCCCCACATCACGTACACATATGCCACACACACCACCCACACTGCATATACCTCCAGGGCACGCACCCCTTACCTGTCACATGCATCACTCAACCACACCCCCTATATCATGTTTGCACCTAACACAGCCCACTACGCACACGTAACAACACACAGATTCCAAGTAATTATAAACACACAACACACACATCACATACACACCAAACTACACACACACACCCCTCTCTGCACCCAACTTGGCTGCTTTCCCGCGCAACTGGAGCGGGGAAGGGAGTGGGGGAGGAGGAGAACTGCAGCCCGCACCAAGGTTGCGGCGGACTTCGAGTGTTGCGGCCGGCGGCGCGGGGCCGGGGCGCTGGCACTTGAGATGGTCCTGGGCGGGAGGCAGCCCTGGGGATTGCGCGCGGGTGTGTGGGTGTGTGCGCGCCTACCAGGGGGTCTCTGTGCCCTGACGCTCTGGGAGGTGTGTGCGAGGGAAATGTGAGAGGCGTTGGGGGAGACGCTGTGAGGAAACGTCGCCCAGAGATGCGCCTGGGCCAGCCCGCTGAGAGGAGAGGTTCGGGTGGGCGTGTACCCGGTGTGCACAGCCGTCCCCAGAGCGTGTGGCAGCTCTCGAGACGGCCTCGCTCGGAGGGAAGCGTGTGTGGGAAGTGTATGTGTAAGCGGGTGTCGTGCGAACACCAAGCGGCCGAGGCGTGTGTATGTTCACAACGGCCCTCCGTCCGGGTCTGTCTCTGAGGAATGAGTGAGCCTGCGGGAGGAACTCGCTGCGACGGGAAGGGACGCCGACGACCGCGCTCACACGCAGCGTGTGTGTGAGAGGCCCGGCTAGCCGAGGGACGCCGGCCGGGGCCGGCTGGTGCGCGCGTGTGCGCGTGCGTGTGGGGCGCGGCGCGCGCCGCGGCGGACGGCGGGAGGCGGCGGCAGGCCCAGCCCCGGTCGCAGCGCCCGGGGCGGCTCCTCCTAGAGCCTGGGACCGCCGCGCTCCCGCCGCCGCCGCCGCCGCCGCCGCGCCCTCCCGCGTCTGCAGCCGGCTCGGCTTCCTGCCCGCCCAGACGCCGTTCTTCCCGGGCTCCTGGTCTCGGCTCCGCGCGGAGGGAGAGGAAATGAGTTCGGCGGCGGCGCCGGCGTCCGAGCGGGGTTGGAAGAGCGAGAAACTAGACGAGGCTCAGGCCCTGGCGCGGAGTTGCGCTGCTCGCAGACCCGATTTCCAGCCGTGCGACGGGCTCTCCATCTGTGCCACGCACAGCCATGGCAAGTGCTTCAAGCTGCACTGGTGCTGTCACCTAGGATGGTGTCACTGTAAGTAGAGATGCGTCTCCCGGCCTTCCGCCACGGTCCTGGGGCGTCCGCGGGGCCATCCGGGGTCGCGGCCCGGACTCTGCGGCCGTGGGGCTCCGGGCTCGACCGGGCTGCTGTGCCGCAGGCTGGGTCCGCCCTGGGCTCCGGGCCCGCCAGAACTGCCCTGGCGCCGGACGACTGGAGTTGGCGCTGCCTTGGCAACGAGATGAAATCCCGCGGGGAGCCTAGCTTTAGCCACTTCTACAAAAGGGGAGCTCCTCGTCCCAGGAAAGCTGGAATCTATTTTTTTTCTTTTTCTTTTTCTTTTTTGACCAAAACGTCCGGGCATGTGATGAGAAATGGTAGAGAGCCCGAAGAGTCGATGACAACTGGCGGGGGAATCCTTTTTTCAGGGCTTGTGGTTAAAGATGCTCCTCTTTTCCTTTCTCATTTTTGTCATTCTGGTCTGCTGTTTGAAAGAAAGAGCCCTTGAAAGTCGAGTTGTGCCCTCGTTTGTTGTGTACAAATTGAGAAAGCTCTGAAGTGTGAGGGATTGCCTCCAAGAAGTTAATATTAACAGTTTGAAAGGGCGAACTCCTTTAATATCCAGATGCAGCATTTAGAGCCAATATATGAGATGGTTTTGAAATTACAAAATAAAACGAATGAAAGTAGGCTTGATAATCTTAAACCAATTTATAAAAGCCAGAACTAAATGGTCTAGGCCCTTTCTCTATGTTATCCTGCCTGTGATTTTTAAATAGATTAAACTTAAGTAGTCGTTTAATTAGAATTCCACAATTTGATTAGTTTGTGGTATTTGGCCTACTGTATCCGATGATTCATTCCTTTTAAGAAATATATTCTAAAGTTATTTTCCTCACAACTTTATAATGAGGGTTTTGGAGTGCTTATTTAGGACACAAATTTTCGAAGTGATCTTAAGTTAAAATTATTTTTTCTTTGTTGGTTAGAAAAAAATGGCTCACAACCAGGGATGCAATGCATAGCAAATCCTTATTTACATTAATTGAACATAAATGAATATTTTTAATTGAATTTATGAATTAAAGGATAGAGAGTCCTTGCATTTTCTTTACAAATTCAAGGCACATGGAACAGTATTGATTTTTTGTGTTCCATCTGCTGATGATTCAGTTTCTTCCTATTTCTCATTATTCCTATTGTGCTCAGATCAGTTCCCAATTATAAAGCATTGCTTCAGTGTGGGACAGGGTACAGAGTTGGAAGTAGCAACTGTAGGGAGCCTGGAATGCTGTAAGTGCACAAGTAGGATGAATCCGATGAGAGTCCATTTGCTGGGGATGTCTAGAATCAACATTAAAGATGGTCCAGGTTAGTGCCTGCCTTATTCCTACAGTATCCCCTCTAAGTACACCATTACTGATGGGAACCTTGCAGTCTTTTCAGACAGCTTCTTTCTTCATTAGCCTTGACTCTTAAAATACTCTTCCTTATATGGAGCTGAAATCAGTTACTTCCTAACTTCTTCCACTGGTCCTATTTCTGCCTTATGAAATCATATAGAACAATCTAATTCTTTTTTAGATCATGGCTGTTTCAACTCTTCATATATACATATCTGAATATACATATGCATTTCTTGCAAACATGGGCTATCTTCTCTTTGTATCCCTGTCCATTCTCACAGTGTCTTTTTAAATAGGTTTGATATTAATGTTCATTGAATGACTGAATGAAAATAGCCATCATTTTCGTCTTAAGGCAATGTTTTATTTTATTTATAAATCTCCACTGCCTTTTGCCTTTCCTTTTGTGAACCAGTATCCAGGCTCCTAAGCATCCTGGTTGTTTTGTTCTGAATATATGCCAATGTGGTTATGATCCTTTGAAGACTGTGACCCCTAGAAAGGTACACAATATCCCAGCTGTGGTCTGATCAGTCCAAAGTTGAACAAGACTGCTACCTCCCATCTTTGAGATGCTACTACCGGTGCAGCTAGGGTCACATTAGCTTTTCTGATATCTACCTTAGATTGTACCCAGCTTGCTGTTCACGAAAGCATTGAGCCGTTTTTTGTTAGTTTGTTTTTTTAACATATATGGCAATTAAGCCACAGCTTGCCCATCTCAAAGTTACATGTATATTTTTGGACACAAAGTACCAATTAATCTTTTAGATTTTTTTTCTACTAAATTTCATTTTATTAGAATTAGCCCATTCTTATGCCTTATTATGTTTTTAGATCCTGGCTCTTTCGTAATATATATAAGCTATTTCCCCTAGGTTCATGTCAGCTGCATATTAGATGCCAACAGTACTACAGTACATCTTCATTCCAGTTGTTGATAGAATTGCTGAACGGGAGAAGGCCACAGACAGGGTTCTGAGCCTTGCTGGTAGAACTACCCTTCAGATTGATAGCAGTTCATTAATGAGCACTTGTTAGTTAAGGTTGTTCAATTACCTAGCCACCTAATTGTAATATTATTTATCTTATATTTATCTTGTATTTGGGTATAATGAGAACCTGGTCAAATACCTTGTTGAAATCCTATCAACATATTATTTTTACTGCTTTTTGATCTATGACTTATCTATACACATATTCTATTTTTAAAAAGACAGGAAATGATATTAATCTGGTATAACTCAGGTTGGTTCCACAAATGCTTACCATTTTCTTTTCTAAGTGGTTAGAAGCTGATTTTAAATAAATAACCCGAATTTAGAAAAGGTTTGACGTCAAGTATACTGGACTGTTGTTGGCAGTTATTTCTGTTTCTTAAAAAATCAGAACTATGTTTATTTGCTCTTTTCCGGTCTCTGGCAACCTTCTGGTTTTCCACACTTCCTCCGCTGGCAGCAGTTCAGTGATCCCATTCACGAAGAGCTTGACTTCATTTAAGGCAGCAAGGTGCTCTGTTACAGTCTCCTCACCTATACTGGGCATCAATTCTTTCTACCTTTTAAGCCCAAATATAATTTTTCTTCAAAAGAAGCAGAGTTAACATACTTGAGAAGTTCTGCTTTCTTTTCTGGCATTCATGAAGTTTACGGTATCAATCCTAAGCAGAATTCCTTTAATTCTGTTGAATATGTATTGACTACCTTCTCTTTATGAGACATTATTATGCAAATTAGGAATATAATATGAATACAGCTCGACCATGCCCTTTAAGCAGAATCTAAGGGCATGATCCACGATGTATTTATTTTTGTACTTCCTTTAAAATCACAAATGATATAGGTGAGAAAACTATCAGTTTGTTAGCCAAATCTGAGAATGCTAAAATGAGAGGATTACCTTCATACTTGAAATAGGTAACTTTAAAACAAAGGAAATTCAATTTTATATGGTTGATGTTAAACTTATGAAATTTATAGCCTTATAGAAAAAGCTGAAAAATGTATACATGTTAGCAAAAGGCATATTAAGTGTGTATATATTTACAGATGCAGTGCTTAATGCATTATTAAAGGAAATAGTTTATTTGAGTAGTGACAGATTTTTGAGGATGACATCTGGGAGGAAAACCATAATATGTTCTGTTGGTATCACTGTCAAAGATAGATGATTGGGTTGAATAAACCATGACCCTGAATCTGTAACTTTTATTTTTCCCCACTACTGAGTGATACTGGCTTGAATTAGAGTGAAGGTTTTCAAGAGGAGTTTTGAGAGAGAAAAAGACACATGGCTTGGCTAGAAAAGAAGGATGGGAAAGAATAAATCATATGCAGGTATTGTAAAGTAGATTTTTGTGGTTAGAGTAGATAGAATATCTAGGAGGAATAAGAAATTAGATTTGTGGGGTTGGAGATAAGTGGGTGTATTTGAAAGATATATTTGAGGTGAATTATCTGTAGGCTTGATTAGATATGGAGGCAGAGGAAGATGAAGGTTATTAAGGATAACTTCTAGAATTCTGCCTTATGCAGCTTGGATGGATGGTGGTGCCATTCATTAGCAATGAAATACTGGAGAACTGGGATTGGGAGGAAGATCATGAATCCAGTTTTGGATCTATTGCTTTTAAGCTGCCTTTCTTATCACATGATGACATCAGTAGGCAGTTAGACATAGGGATCTAAAATTCAGAGAAAGGTCTGGGCTAGAGATATTAATAATATGGAAGTCATTTACTTATTTATAGATGGCAGTTGTAGCCATGATGAAGCATGAGTTTTCTAAGGGAGAGACTATAGCATGAAAAATGAAGAAAACCCTTAGACTTTTCTGTTTAGGACACCAGAGTCTGGGTACAGGAGGATAAGCTGGCAGAGAAGTCTAAGAAGAGATGGCTAGAGAAGAAAAATCTGGAAAGTATGATATTGCAGAAGCCAAGGGAAATTAGTGTTTTAAGAACGAATACAGAAATGAAACCAGTTTTCAGCAGATTGATTATTAGATATTGGTAAAATACACAAATACTGATTTTCTTTATTACTGAAAAAGATGGTGAAAGGTTTAGTCTTGCAACAGTGACTGTAGGAATATACTTAATTGTAGTATTCTTCAAAGCTATTTGAGGCAGTGAATTCTTCAAGGTAGAAAGAATAGAGTGCTAGATGCTGAGAATTAGGACACAGAGATAATAGTCAACATTTATTGAGTGATTACTTTGTGCCAGAGTAAGCTTATTATGCTGAGCACTTAATAGCCAATTATGTCATTATGTCCATTTCACAGCTGAGGGACAAATCTTAGAGAAGTAACTTTTCCGTGGGCACATAGCAAGTAAGGAGTAGAGCCTGGATTTGGATCTGTTTGATTCTAGACCTGGACTCTTAACCATCATAGGTACTATAGAGCAATTTAAAATTCATGAGCAGAACCAACAGAGCTCAGTTCTATTAAAGCCACTGATTGGGAAAGTTTTTAAGAAATGGGAGGCATTATGTATCAATTGCAGTAGTGAAATCCAGCAGAATGAGAACTGAAGAAAAGAGGTCACTGAATATAGTGGGGAATGACATTCAAGTTGAGGGTTAAGGAAGAGAAAGTGATTAGCAGGTGACAGGTGAGGTTGAGTGG